ATGAAATTAAAACAGTTGTGATCAAACACCAAGCCTAAAGTATTCATACAACATGTTTTAAAGTCAAATACAATAACTTCAGTTTGTATGAATTTAGTAGCAGGAAATTAGAGGTCATTCAGGTCCCATCCAGGACATGCCTGCAGTTTACCTAATTGATGTGTGTCATCTGGCTTCATGGATCAATAAAGCTGGATTTCACCTGCATAGCAATGAAAATATTTGCTATGCCTTCGAATGATAGTGTGTAAAGGAAGCAGGTGTACAGAAACAGAATTGGTCCTAGCACAGAACATTTTTGAGTTTTTGGCCTCCACGGGTGTGGAACTAACTTATTGTCCACCCTTTCTGTTCAGGTTGTGGCTATAAAGGTGGAGCAGGTCATCTACCAATTGTTAGGTTGATAGTTTGATCCCAGGCAAACTATTCTTGGGCAAGATACTAAAAATGAGTTGCACGTGAACATAAACTAACATACCCATTGTAGTATAACCAGGTCCTTAACTCAAATTAAATCAGTATATTGATCAATTTTCTTTTCTTTATCACCGCTCCTCTTCCCCGCTGTTTTTCTTTCCCTCCCTCTCATTCTTTCTTCCTTTCCTTTCCCCCAGTCATGTCTTCCCCGTATGTAACAAGTGAAAATAAAATAAAATAAATAAACAATAAAAACAAAGGTCAATCAAATGGACCAATACGGCAAGGTCGGGATGGTCCACTTGGTAAAGTAAACCTGTTGGGCGTCTTTTTTGGCCTTCAGACAATAATTCTGATGGCAAAAGAACCAAATGGGACAGGCGGCAAAAATAAATAAATAAATAAAAATTGATCAATTATAAAACTGTTTACTCGCAGGGACTTAGAAGAGAGAGACTTACTGTTTATTGTTGGTGTATTATTTAATGCAGTTCAGGGTATTATATTTTTTTGTTTTGTGTTGTAGAAAATGTGTAATACACACACCATTCCAACTTTTTCAGAATTGTAGTTGTAGATTTAAATTACAGTTGAGATTTCAAAAGCACTACTGAATGGCTGACACACTGTAGTTCAACACATAGTGAATGACTGGACCGTGGTTTCTTCCTGACTATAGGTAGCACCCTATACAACCTGTCTGATCAATGGTATTTATTGGGACCCCCACACTCCTCGACTCCTCAGGCGACTGGACGCTCAGATGCTCATGAGACCACAAAAATCCTCATCTGCATACAACGAGGGATCACCTAAGCTTCCTCACAAGTAAGAACGCAGCACAGGAAAATCACAAATACAGGCTGGAAATCTTTTTCTACTGAATGAATAAAAGTACTGTGGTGGTAGCTACTGCATCTCAACAGTGATTGCATGTTTATCTTTTAGGGATATTCCTGGCGACTAATTTCTTAGTTGACTAAACAAGAAAAAAAATTAGACTAACCAACTGGTCTAACACTAAGAAACACTCAGGTTTGAAGTTACATTTGAAAACCGTTTAATGAAAAACAATAACAAACTCATTTCAAACCAGTTATTCTTCAATAACAAAGAAGAAAAATGTCTTGATTTTCAATCATCCAGGTAAGGAAATCTTAAAAGAAAATCATCTGGACGTAGCGTTTTCAGTGGGAGAAAGGTTTCGTCAGTCATCCAAGTGACTTCTTCAGTTTCAGCTGACTGACGTGGTGTTTAGAGAAAATATGTCTCAGCTGTTCTAATACTCCTGACAGATGAGAAATCACTAAGGGTTTTTGCTTAGGAAGCAGTTGGTCCACAGTTAATGTGATCAGTGAATTGTGGTATGTCCTGAGATTTGATTTTCACTCAGGTGTCATCCACATACCTTTACCTTTGTATTAGATCCCAGCTGGACTATTGTAACTTCTTACAGTGGGGCAAAAAAGTATTTAGTCAGCCACCGATTGTGCAAGTTCCCCCACCTAAAATGATGACAGAGGTCAGTAATTTGCACCAGAGGTACACTTCAACTGTGAGAGACAGAATGTGAAAAAAAAATCCATGAATCCACATGGTAGGATTTGTAAAGAATTTATTCGTAAATTAGGGTGGAAAATAAGTATTTGGTCACCTCAAACAAGGAAAATCTCTGGCTCTCACAGACCTGTAACGTCTTCTGTAAGAAGCTTTTCTGTCCCCCACTCGTTACCTGTATGAATGGCACCTGTTTGAACTCATCATCTGTATAAAAGACACCTGTCCACAGCCTCAAACAGTCAGACTCCAAACTCCGCCATGGCCAAGACCAAAGAGCTTTCGAAGGACACCAGGAAAAGTATTGTAGACCTGCACCAGACTGGGAAGAGTGAATCTACAATAGGCAAGCAGCTTGGTGTGAAAAAATCAACTGTGGGAGCAATCATCAGAAAATGGAAGACATACAAGACCACTGATAATCTCCCTCGATCTGGGGCTCCACGCAAGATCTCATCCCGTGGGGTCAAAATGATCATGAGAACGGTGAGCAAAGATCCCAGAACCACACGGGGGGACCTGGTGAATGACCTGCAGAGAGCTGGGACCAAAGTAACAAAGGTCACCATCAGTAACACACTACAACGGCAGGGAATCAAATCCCGCAGTGCCAGACGTGTTCCGCTGCTGAAGCCAGTGCATGTCCAGGCCCGTCTGAAGTTTGCCAGAGAGCACATGGATGATACAGCAGAGGATTGGGAGAATGTCATGTGGTCAGATGAAACCAAAGTAGAACTTTTTGGTATAAACTCAACTCGTCGTGTTTGGAGGAAGAAGAATACTGAGTTGCATCCCAAGAACACCATACCTACTGTGAAGCATGGGGGTGGAAACATCATGCTATGGGGCTGTTTTTCTGCCAAGGGGACAGGACGACTGATCCGTGTTAAGGACAGAATGAATGGGGCCATGTATCGTGAGATTTTGAGCCAAAACCTCCTTCCATCAGTGAGAACTTTGAAGATGAAACGAGGCTGGGTCTTCCAACATGACAACGATCCAAAACACACCGCCCGGGCAACAAAGGAGTGGCTCCGTAAGAAGCATTTGAAAGTCCTGGAGTGGCCTAGCCAGTCTCCAGACCTCAACCCCATAGAAAATCTGTGGCGGGAGTTGAAAGTCCGTGTTGCTCGGCGACAGCCCCAAAACATCACTGCTCTCGAGAAGATCTGCATGGAGGAATGGGCCAAAATACCAGCTACTGTGTGTGCAAACCTGGTAAAGACCTATAGTAAACGTTTGACCTCTGTTATTGCCAACAGGTCTGTGAGAGCCAGAGATTTTCCTTGTTTGAGGTGACCAAATACTTATTTTCCACCCTAATTTACGAATAAATTCTTTACAAATCCTACCATGTGGATTCATGGATTTTTTTTTCACATTCTGTCTCTCACAGTTGAAGTGTACCTCTGGTGCAAATTACTGACCTCTGTCATCATTTTAAGTGGGGGAACTTGCACAATCGGTGGCTGACTAAATACTTTTTTGCCCCACTGTATTAGTCACCTGATCCAATCAGTTGGTCCAGAATGCTGCAGCTCGTCTTCTGATGTGAACTAAAAGACATGAACATATTTCACCAGTGCTTGCCTCTCTCTCTCTCTCTCTTCACTGGCTCCCTGTTCACTTCAGAATTGGTTTTAAAATTTTATTGTTGATCTACTAAGCTCCAAATGGACAGGCTACTGGGTATTTGTCTTACCTGTTGAAGCCTTATCCGACTTCTAGATCTCTTAGTTCAAATGATCTATTGCTTTTAGCCATACCAAGGTGTAGGCTCGTTCACAGAGGCAATCGAGCATTTGGGTTTGTAGTGCCTAAACTGGAATAATGTCCCCCTACAGATGACACATCTAAAACACATTTGTGTTCACTGGCATTTAATACAGTATGACTGTTATTTGGTATTAATATTATAAATTATAAGTTATTTGGTACTATTTATTTTGTATTTCTGTTTCTGTTCAGTTCATAAATAAAAATGATAATGAAATGATAATGATACCTGAACCAATGACTTGGTGGTGTTCCAGGGTAGGATAACAGAGCACTCTTTTCCAATTCTTCCATGTAAAAGTTGGCTACAATGGGTAAAACTGGGGAGCCAAAGGCCCACCCATGTTTTAGTCTGTAGTACTAACTATTGTATGTGAAATATGTGGAATGAAGTCAGAGTTCCAAGAGCAAACACACTTGGTCAGTGCTGGTCTTGTTTCAAGTATTTTTGTAACTGAGCAGCAAGAAAATTTTCTCATGATAGTTTCTGGTTTAGCAAAACCGTGTACCTACCCTTGTCTGCCAGAAGGATGATAATGTTTTTGTCTTTGATCAGTAATTGTTGATCAATGGTCATGACATTTTGTATATTAATGATCAAGAAACTGACCTCATTGTTCTTCAGTGGTGCTAGTTTTAGTCATTATGCAAATATACTGTTTATAAGGTTGGGGAAACCTGCAATCAGCTGAGACCAAAGAAGTCATGTGGATGAGCGATGAAACATTTTTTGCCACTGAAAACGCTACGTGTAGATGAACTGAATCAACTTTTTGAGATGTTAAATATGAGAATAAATATGAAAACATGTTACTACAAAAGCTGTTCACGTATTACTAAAATATGGCAAAATAACATCTGAAAAACAAACAAAAGCATTGTGATTCATGACATCTTCAATAAAATTAACATCTAAAATAATAAAACAAATCATCCAGCCATTTTTTTCTGCTTATCTATAGTTGGCAGAGGCACCCCACTTATCTGAGGAAACATCAAACCTTTCCCAGGCCAGCCAATAGATCTCTTCAGCGTGTCCCGGGTCTGTGCTGGGGCCTCCTCCCTGTAGGACATACCCGTTTGGATCACCTTACCCCACAGCCTACTATACCCTCATAAGTGTTTTCTTTTCTGTCTTCCTGCAGGCTGCTGGCCATCTGCGACATATCTGCTGACACTGGAGGCTCTATAGAGTTCATGAATGAATGCACCACCATTGATAAGCCTTTCTGCATCTATGACGCTGACCAGCATATTGATCATGACAGGTATAGAGCAAACGGTTCATGTTTTGCCTTTGTGTCAGCATCAACTGTGTTTCTGTTTGGATCAGGGTTTCAGGATTGAGGCAAAGACTCCAATTTTTCCATCAAGCAGCATCTTTTATGATTTCTGTATATTCTTCTGTTCAGCTTGGTTTATTAACATAACTCACCATTCGTATCCTGCTAGACCTTTGTGTGAGGAATGTTGGAGTCATTTTTGACCAGGATAGGTCTTTCAATGCACATATTATCCAAATCTGTAGGACTGTTTACTTGCATTTGGACATGGATAAAACATGCTAACATCCTATCGCAGAGTGATGTAGAAAAACTGGTTCATGCATTTATTACTTGAGTTGGCTTTTAAAAACTCCTTTCTTATTTTATCCTAAAGACCTCATATTTATTTATTTTATTTAATCAGGGATCCCTTGAGATTAACATCAAGGGAGACTTGGCGAGGAAGGCATATTATTACAGTGTTACAAGTTAAAAATCAAATACAACATTAAAACACATAAAACAAAATAATACAAAGTCTAGTTTATGAATAACAGTCTTCAGTTACAACAGTCTTTATTAGAGCTCTGAATACCCCAGGGGGACAAAGACAAGCAGCTGCTGGCTATTTATATTTTACTCCTGCACAGTTGGTCTGGATCACCAATAATTTCTTTGTACATTGACAATAAAGGGCTATTCAGTTATGTTCTGTTAACCCTTTAAGACCTACCATAGAACCAAGTCCGCCAGAGCTTATATTATATTTTTACATGGTGTGGTGCCATTTTTGGGAGCATTTCAAGTTGCTATACATCAATACAACAATTATAGCCCAGATTTTAATAATATGTATTCATTAAGTGCATAGTAATTACATAAATTGCAAAAAAGTGCAATACACTACAAAAAAATTGAAAATCGTTTTTGCTTTTTTAACATATATTTCTAGTTAGAGAAATTTAAGAGGCTTATCCCTCAAAACTGTAAATACAAAAAAGTTGCACAAAATAGTTTCCCACCACAGGAAATTTATTTTAAGTGTCTTCATAGTTTTATTTTTGAAATACACCAATTTTTATACACTGCAGGAAAAACGAAAATAAATATTATGCTGCAAATTTGCAAAAAAGCAGCATATGCATCAAAATAAACTATTTCCAGCAGTGCAATACGACTTCTAAGCATCCCAGAAACGACACAGAAAGTCATAAAGTCAAACATAACTTTTAAAAAGACCAGTATAGGCCCTGAGGCCCTGATGGTAAAAAAGACTACATTTCCGCAAAAATGACGTCACTTCCAGTTTCGGGCAGGTAATGGCGGACATGCAAAAGTTCGCGCTGACGTCTATTCCAACGTAGGAAGTGTTATGAACAGCTGATCAAAGCGTGTTTCTGGAATATTATGTTTTTGTTCCTGCAAGCGCTTTTTATGCAGTTTTTGCAAAGCTTTATGTGGAAGGAAACCGTGACCTAGGACAAGCTGATGGCATAAGATGTAAGTGCAACTCCTCTGGTTTCATATGCCAAAAAAATTATTGCGCTAGCTTACGTGGTTGCAGTGCTACCGGGATTTAAAAATAGTTAAGTAAAACAGAGCATGCCCGCTCCGACCGGCTCTAAAGGGTTAAAGTGCTCTGAAGGTTTTTCAATGAACAAGGTGCAAAATAAGAGACTGCAAATCACAGCAGCTGTTTAAAGGGATTAAGAGGTTACATAGCTGCAGGAAGTTCACCCAGGATGGCTTTGTACATAAAAATATACCAGTGCAGTTGGCTTCTTAAACTTAATGAAGGCCAAGAACAGTACCATGCCACCTGATTTCAGTTCAATTCAGTTCAGTTTTAGTTATACAGCACCAAGTCACAACAACAGTCACCTCAGGGTGGTTTGTTTTGTAAGGTAGACCCTACCATAATATACAATAGAAAAAACCCCAACAATCGTATGACCCCCTATGAGCAAGAGCTTTGGCGACTGGAAAAACTCCCTTTAAACAGGAAGAAACCTTCAGCAGAACCAGGCAGTTGAGCACTTTACTCTTGGACTGCTGGCTTACTTGTGGTTCTTTGGGTATATAAAAGCCTTCACCTTTCAGACTTTATTTTCCTTTTAAACCAGCTCCTGGTTTGGATTCAGGAGACAAACTCAGGAGCACTTTATAATACAACATTTGACTTAGGAGTTTAAGTACCCTGTAATTACATGCAATTATAACATGTGTTATCTGAAATTGCAGTGTAACTATATTTACCCTACAAATACTTCTAATATAATGTTTAAATTATTCTACTGTAACTTAAAATTGTACTAGAATAAGGGGGTAACAAGTCAGTTTTTTTACGGGAAATAATTGGTTGGTTGGTTGGTTGGTTGGTAATTTTATTTCAACATGTGAAATATGTGAAATATACAAGTACATTTAGAAAAGAAATAAGAGAGAAAAAAAATACTATACAAATTACATACAAAAAACCATTCTGATTAATTTACATGTTGAAAGGGAGTGGGAATACACTTATTTAATCCCACCCCTTTGCCATAAATTATCAGTTAATATTTAGTCAGCTTCCTTACTGATATAATTTGTAATAAAAATAGTGAACAGATTTCTGATATACTATATACTATAATATCACATCATGAATTTTTTGTTTGTTTGTTTGTTTTTAAATAGAGACATTCACTTAATTTAAATATTTTCCTTTTCTTTATAGATCGAGAAGATCATATTTTTATAACTCTTTTTGAACAGTTTTATGTTTGGACATTGCTTTAATTCCATATTCAGTTTGTTCCATAGTTTCACTCCATGAACAGAAACACAAAAGCCTTTTCTTGTAGTACGTACCTTCATTGTTTTGAAGTTACAAAAACCCCTTAAATTATAACTTCCTTCTTTCAAAAAAAACATACTCTGAATATTACCTGGCAGTTCTTTATTTTTTGCTTTGAATAGAATTTGTGCTGTTTGGAATTTCACTATATCGTCAATTTTCAATATTTCAGACTGCAAAAATAGTGAGTTTGTATGTTCCCTATAACCTGCATTGTGGATGATTCGAATTGCTTTTTTTTGAAGAGTAAAAAGTGAATGTAATGTGGTTTTATAGTTATTGCCCCAGACCTCTGCACAATAGCTTAAGTATGGTGAAACCAGTGAACAGTAGAGAATATGAAGTGATGTTCTGTCGAATACCTGTTTTGCCTTGTTTAGTACTGCAATGCTTCGTGATACTTTGGAATGAATATATCTTACGTGAGCTCTCCAGTTAAGTTTTTCATCTATTATTACCCCCAGAAATTTATTTTCACTGACTCTTTCAATATCAACACCATTTATTTGAATCTTTGCATTTGTATTTAAACTACTATTTCCAAATAACATAAGTTTAGATTTATTCAAATTTAATGATAATTTGTTTTTATCAAGCCAGAACTTCACTTTACTTATTTCATTAGTCATATCCTCCAATAAATTCTGCAGATCATCACCAGAGCAAAAAATGTTTGTATCGTCAGCAAAGAGAACCATTTTTAATACTTTGGACACTTTACAGATGTCGTTAATGTACAAGTTGAAGAATTTTGGACCCAAAACTGACCCTTGGGGTACACCACAAGCAATGTCCATACATAAGGAGCAACCACCATTTATTTTCACAAACTGCTTTCTGTCACTTAAATAACTCCGGACCCAATCTAAAACTACCCCTCTGACACCATAACGTTCCAGTTTTCTTATTAATATATCATGATCTATAGTGTCAAATGCCTTTGTCAAGTCTATGAATAACCCAGCCACATATTGCTTTTTGTCTATGGAATTTGTGATGTATTCTATTGAATCTAATAGTGCCGATGATGTTGATCTGCTTGATCTGAATCCGTACTGACTCTCAGTGAGTAGTTTATGTTTATCTATAAATTTTTCCAGTCTGTTTTTAAACAGTTTTTCAAGAACTTTTGAGAATTGAGGTAGTAAAGAGACAGGCCTGTAGTTTGTGAAATGGTGTTTGTTTCCAGATTTGTATAGAGGTATAACTTTTGCTATTTTCATTCTGTCTGGAAAATCGACCAGTTTGAAATGATAAATTACAGATGTATGTAAATGGTTTTATAATAGCCTCAATGACTCTTTTAACCACTATCATATCAAAATCATTACAATCCAAAGATTTGTGATTTTTACATTTTTTGACAATGAAATAATGACAATGAAATAATTACACTGTAAGTAAATTTAAGTACTATGTAAGTAATTTTAAGTACTATGTAATTTCATTGTACTTTTCAGAAAAACAAAAAAACTTTTTACAACATAAGTACCCTGTGCCATATTATGGGGTCACTTGCTTAATCGTAATCTTGTTTAAGGGAAGCATGTATAATGTAAACAGAGTTGGTCCTAGCACTGAACCCTGTGGAACTCCATAATTGACCTCAGTGTGTGAAGAGGACTCTCCATTTACATGTACAAATTGGAGTCTATTAGATAGATATGATACAAATCACTGCAGCGCAGTACCTGTAATACCTGCAGCATGTTCTAATCGTTCTAGTAGAACATTATGATCGACAGTATCGAACGCTACACTGAGGTCTAGCAGGACAAGCACAGAGATGAGTCCACTGTCAGAGGCCATAAGAAGATCAGTTTTAACCTTTAACCTTAACCTAAAGCTGTTTCTGTGCTGTGATGAGCTCTGAAACCTGACTGAAACTCTTCAAATAAGCCATTCCTCTGCAGATGATCTGTTAGCTGTTTGACAACTACTCTTTCAATAACTTTTGATATGAAAGGAAGGTTGGAGATTGGCCTGTAATTAGCTAAGACAGCTGGGTCTAGAGATGGCTTTTTAAGTAAAGGTTTAACTACTGCCAGTTTGAAGGCCTGAGGTACATAGCCGATTACCGTATTTTCACGACCATAAGACGCACTGTACTAAAAGGCACAGTCTCAGTTATGTGTGCCATTACTGTATTTAACACACACATAAG